TATATATATATATATATATATATATATATATATATATATATATATATATATATATATCATCATATATTATATTATACCAAACCATAACGTATCATACCATATCATATCTATCATACAATTTCATATACAATATAGGCATATCGTCATATTCACATGCAATATAATATCATATAATTTATTAGTACACTAACTGCAAATATCTACAACGCTTTGACTAAATAATATCACTGCATCATAGTACTTATAATAATATGAAAATTTGATTTATTACTTAATATTCCAAATTATCTATAAATAAATATCAATAAATTAATTCAACGTGTAAGTAATGTGAATTAAATGATTATTATTAAATTAATTTAATAATTATGTTATAGAGTTTAGTATCCATCGTTTAACCTACACTATGAATTACACTGAATTAAGTATTACTGTACAAGTAAACATAATATATAAACATATAGGCCCTAATGTATATATATATATACATATAGGCCCTAATGTCTATACATCTATATATATACATATACATATATATATAGGCCTATATATATATATATGCCTATATATATGCCTATATATATATATATATAATTGCATGCAGACAAGACAGTTATGCATATTCATGTATATAATTAGCATAATTGAAAAGTCTTCAGTTACGTGCTCAATAGTAAGCCATGGACACAATTTTTCTGACCGTCCTCCAACCTTTACATTCAGTGGATATGCAACATTGCGCTCATCGTCGTCAACTCGTAAAACACGTAGACCTCTCACCTCCAGGATTTTATACGAGAACTGAATATTTTCTACGTAAAGTTGATGTCAAATCAGTGTCAAAATACAAACGAGATAAAAGGCACAAAATACTTTTATTCTGACATATCATAACAGTAGTTATACAACGGTGCTTAGGACAATGTGAATGGCTAAATGACCAGAGGGAAAAATTACACTTTATACGACGTTCCTAATTTCTCACCAGTCGACTATTTTATCTTTTTTTTTCGATTGAAGGACTGCAGAAGATGAATCAACTTGTATGTATGTGAATAGGCCCACATTTACAGCCAGCTTAAAAGTTTCTATTATCTCAACAGATAATAATATGCCTAGTATTTATCATTTAATTTACCTTTAATTCTCTGCCCTAGGGCTAGTCCGGGATCGTCATTTAGACGAGGGCTCTCTGGAGAAATAGCTTAATTTACAGGTTCCTAAAGAGAGATTCGTACGTTACATCTGTTATTCAAAAAATCAGACAAAATATTCAGAAATGTAACTAGGAAATGCATTATTACATTATTAGATTATTTGAAATTCAGCTTAAGTAGACATAACATCCCTTTTCACTTACTCGGTAGTCAGTTTTAAATAACTCATTAATATTCATGAGTTTGTAGTTAAGCAGAATTAACTAGGTTACAGTGAATATACCATAATGAAAAGTGGTTTCAATCTTGCAAACTAAAAATCATCAACAGATTAAAGATTCGATGATTCCAAGTACATACAGCTACGGTAATTTTTAATATATATTCTACAAGAGCCCATTTCAGTGATGTTTCTACTATTTTTTCAAATTTAATTTGTGTAATGAGTTTGACTGGGGACCTACATTGTACAACGCTCTGTTTTCGACCACTTTGCAACATACGCGGGGGCCTACTTCACCGCTTTTAACGTTCGTCGTACTTCAACCGGGCACTCTCTTCACCTGGTCGTCGGGATAACGTTTAGGAGGCAACGCCACGACGAGTGCACAACGGGTCGTTTTTTTTTTAATGACGATCCATCCAAACTGACACCGACAATCAGCAGACGGCGTCGTGTCATCTAGCTTTCATTGGGAGCGGAATTAGATTCGTCGTAGAACGGTCTTATGACCGTCGTACGACGAGTGAGTGCCCGGCTTTAACTGCCGAGCTCATAGTTAAATCGGACTACACTGTAATATTTAAACAAAATGTTAACTCATTCATCTTAATGTATAGGCCTAAAAAGATTTGGGAGGTGTAGAAAGTTGTCCGATGCGTGACCAAGGACAATCATGTCCTCACTGGGTTTGATTGCATAAAGACTATAGGAATTGGAAGGCAAGCATCTTTGAAAACACTTCACAGACGTTTTATAAAAAAACGAAGTACTTTCGTTTAGTTCTTTGTTCGTTCCGTTATAGGCCATCTAAATATCCGCGTCATTAAAGATATATGTTAATTCCTGTCACGGTACCAGGATTGTTTCACGACCAATCTTCACTGCACAAGACACATAATGAGACATAGTCTATTGTAGAGTATATAGCTTGTGTGTATGTGAAGGGAAGAGGGAGAAATACAAACTAAAGTATTCGTCTTTGAAAAGACTATGGAACGGTTTTATAATATAGGTACCAACGCTAATAAGCGACGACTATTCCAATTTTTATTTCAGCAATAACTTATTTAAATATACAAAAAAAGTAAGCAATAACATTTTATTTTATTCTTTAGTTATTTCTAAAGGCCAACTCAGACAGCGTCGGCCGACGCAGCCCGACCCGATTTATCGTCGGGGACAGTCTTAAGCCGTCGTGAGAAATATTAAACATGTTTAATTTTCTATTACGCGACTGCCCCCGACGCACACCATCGCGTCTGCGTTTAACTCACACAGGTCCGACGCGACAACAAATCGCGTCGGGCTGCGTCGTACGACGCTGTCTGAGTTGGCCTTAAGGCGCCTTTGCAGATAACCTTCAGACATGCAGCAACAAACATATGCTGTACACAACCACACTAGATGAAGTAGTTAGCGCAAACCTATAAAAGGACAAAAAAAATATGATTATAGATATGATTATTTAAAGATGTATTGTCCCATGAAAATACCAACAAAAATCATAAAAATAATTTTGAAATAATGAATCTCCTTATTCTGAAGTAACATATAAATTATCAACATAAAAATTAGTGTACAGAATTTTAAAAATGTTTACACATGTTATAGCAAAAAAATTAGTTAAATATGTTACAGTATTTGTTTTAACCAACCTTTTTCCTTGCTGCTTCTTTTTTTTAGATTTTTTCTTGCCAATATTCATCTGACCAACAATAATAATGAAGTGACTGGAAGTGTTTCTATTATTTAATAATAGAAACACTTCCAGTCACTGGAAGCATTTTCATGATTTTTTTTTATCATTATCCAGTATAAAATCAGGGTACACATTTTTTTTTATTTAATAATTTGTATGTTACTACAAAATGAGTAAGTTAATTTAAATTTTTTTGTCATTTTCAGGTGACAATACATATTTAAACAAGCAAAACTATAAAGAAAATTAATATATATATATATATATTTAACAGCTTAACTTATAGCTTATTACTTATTATATCTACGACAATGGTTCTATCTATAATATTAGTTTGCTATTTGACAAGTTTCAAACAAATACAGTTAAAATTAATATAATAATTGTGGACAGTATATTCCTAAATACTATACAATATATTTACGTATCGATGGTATACCGTATTGTGTTTGTGTAATGCTGGATTTATGCGTATTTGAGAGACCTATTGAAACGTTTTATGCAATATGTTCACTAGGGAGCAATATATTAAAAGCAATCCCTTTAAAAGCAAGGTAACATGACATGAAATCAACTATTATTTATATCTGACCTCTAAACTTCGACACAGGAAATATTATTTGCTGGTAATACTCCATATTTCTTATGAATATTTCTCATAAAAAACAATAAACTTATTGTTGATACTCTATTTATTTTATGACTTTACTATCTGCTTCATGACACACACACACATGTGTGACACTGTATAATAT